TTAGTTACACATAAGTTATATATAAGTTACACAATAGATACGCATGCGTGACACAGCAGTGATACAGTAGTTACACATAAGTTATATATAAGTTACACAATAGATACGCATACGTGACACAGCAGTGATACATTAGTTACACATAATTCATATATAAGTTACACAATAGATACACATTACTGACACAGCAGTGATACATTAGTTACACAAAAGTAAATCTTTTTTGACAAAGCAGTGACACAGTAGCTACTCTGAATGTATGCGTAAGTTAAACAACAAATACAATATTTATACATCAATCAACCAATAGATACACATTAATGGTTTTTAGCTATAGACGTATATTTGGAAATAGAAAAGTGTATATTTATCAAAAATAATTTAGTTCTTACAACTTTCTGCCGTGCGAACTTCTGGTGATCTTCTATTATTGTGCAAACATCTAAATTATACTTGTGTAGAGTCACGCAGGCCAGGTAGTCCTGAGATACAGCTTGATAAAATGACCGAACCGAAATACATAACGCAACGAAACCAATGACGAGATCATAATGTTTGGTCATCTCGGATAACTATGTCTTTAATAATTAAAAACTTTATTTTTAGTACATGATGTTTCATTAATATTTGCAATTTGTTTTATTTAGTTATCTAGCTATGGAAACAGAATTAACTACAACAAGAAAGAATGATGAACTGCAGCTATGTTACGTAAGTCTAAAATTGATCCAGCAGTTTTGTACACATACATTTTAATACTCAATATCAATGCAATATTTGTACAATTATATAGGAATAAAATGTTTAAATGTTAAAATAAGTACGTTTACAACTTGCTAGTCATCATTTTCATGACGTCATTATTTTGGTTTGATACAATATACATGTATTTGTTGAATGCAAACAATAACAAATGATCTAGAAGAAAAACAATGATGTTTTTTAATCCCGAACTAGAGCCCACATGAGGCATTAAATATAACACAATATTGAGACTTAATTTAGGAGGGGCGACTACTCTGTTGTTACTGGTGCATGTTATCATGTTAGCTGCCTTTATAATTTAATAAAGGCTGGTCGTAAAGTTTGACAGTGGCAAGGTAATTGTACTGAAAATACAGATCCCTCGTGTGAAGTGTACAGACAAAGGCATTTTATAAAATCGTGTCCATATAACGTACATCAAGGGAGAAACTAAGTAGAACCAATTCAAAGTTATTGGTGATAAGATATCCCTTAGTTTAACTCTGCAGTCATATATCATGTACGTTGGTTTACATACATGTTCAAGAACCACAAACAAATATGAATCATGGCTTGCCAATAATATATCCATTGGTGTCTTCGTTCGTCATGAACCATACCAATTCTCTTAATATTCTTTAAAATTAATATACATGTTTTTTTAAATGTAATAAAACCTATTACTTTTATTATCTGTATGTTTCTCACACGTGAAAAGAAAGTGAAATTCATCATCTATTACGGTACAATGGTATCTAACACAAAACCATTCATGTTTGCCCGGGGAGTGTCATTTGGGATATGTCCATTGATCCAAGTAAGCAAATCTAACAGATTGATTAATTACTTTATGCTATGTAGGTTTGTCATGAATCCTGCAATTGATATAATTGAATGGATCCATATCAAGAGGAATGGTTGTCATTATACAAGTCGTTTGATTCTTTATTTGCACGATTTACATAAAAGAAAAAGTCTCCAAAATTTTCTCAATAATATCATTGTTTACACATTGATTTTATTAGCATTGATCTTATTGTTTTATATTACATTGAGAGTTACTGGGCCTTTACAAAATCGACTTGTGTATGTGTTTAAGTGTCTCCATATTTCAGGACCATAACGATAAAACCGGTTTAATGGTATGATCAAAACATTATTCTAACACGATTCGTTTGCAACGCGTGTTTTAATTGGATACGGACCATGTTCTAATCTGCGATATAATCATTATCAATCGTTTTAAGCTCCTCCCATCGCACTGTTTCTAACCAAAATAATAGCAATGAAGACTGGGATTATTACCCCAGTGCCAAAGAAAGGTAAAGATATATCGTTACATAGGAACTATCGTGGGATAACAGTAACTTCCATATTGAGCAAACTCTTAGAGACAGTAATATCTAACCTGTTAAAGTCAGTCCGCTACCCACTGCAGAACCAACTACAGAGGGGATTCACAGAAGAAACCTCGCCCCTGAATGCTGCGTTATTAGTAGAAGAATGCATCAATGAGGCCTTTGATCTCAACAAGCCGTTAGCACTGACCATGCCTGATGCAGCCAAGGCTTTTGATGTTGTTTGGCATGATGGACTATTGCGGAAACTGTACCATGCTGGCGTGCAACAGGAACTATGGGACCTGGTTAAAGAGATGCAAACAGAACCCTTCTCCGCCGCAAAATATAAGGGACGACTGGCCCAACGCTTAAGGTGAATCAAGGTATTAGGCAAGGAGCCAAACCTTCTCCGATCATGTACAAAACCTTCAGCAATGACTTACTGAATCATATTAGAGATAACGGGCTTGGAGCCTACATAGGGAACACATTCGTCGGAGTCCCAACAGTTGCAGACGATATTTCCTTACTGCACGACAACCCTGTGGAAATGCAGACAACTTTGAATATTATCAACTATCATACACAGAAGGAAAGATTTAGTATCAACGAAAGCAAGAGTAACATTGTCCTACATAATGTCCCAAAAGCTAGACCCAGCAACATGTTGAAACAAGGCACGACAGACATAGAGGAAACTGATGCGACTGTAAACCTTGGAATACAGAAACATAATTATCGCGCAAAAGACATCAAGGGCCGTATACAGATAGGAAGAAGAGCTATGTATGCCATGATGGGTGCAGGGCTACATGGAAGGAATGGATTGAAACCCCCAATTTCGTATCGAATGTACTGTACATTTGCCCGCCCTAGAATGAAATATAGACTAGAGGTTCTACAGCTCTCTTTGAAAGACGCAAGGGCACTATAGACATATGAACGAGACACACTTCGTCGCCTACAATTCCTACCAAACCGATGCTCAGTTGCCAGTACATACATTCTGCTGAGGGCTACCCCGATCAGTGCCACAATAGAGAAAAACTCACTAAGTCTCTTAGGAAGTATTGCTAGAAGGAAAACCACACTGGAACACGTACTAGCACTACGTCAATCTGCAATAAAGGACGGAACGAGTCACAGTTGGTTTCTACACATGAGAAGGATGCTACTGATATATAACCTTCCAACAATATTCAACTTACTCAGCAACCCGCCAACAAAGCAACAGTGGCAAAATATGGTACAGTATGCCTTAAACAAATACTGGTTGGAAGTATGGCAGGAGGATCAAGTGCAGAAACCGTCCTTACGCTATCTCCACATCCAAAATAGACCATTAAGTTCACCACGCCCAGTTTGGGATACAACAGATGGCAGTCCAAGGGAGACAACTGAGGCGATCATCAAGGCCAGATTGTTGCTAGGCTCCTACACTTTACAAACTAACAAACATAAAATCAATCAACTCTCAGTACCCCCAACATGCTTACTTTGCAAAGCAGAACCTTAACGTCGAGTACACTTTATCGTTAAATGCCAAGCACTAGATTCATTTAGGTTGGAATACTTTTCTCCTATCAAAACTCTGTTAGTCTCTACAGATGCAGCCAAAGCCATACTTACTGATTGCGGCCACACACTCCAGTTAATACTGGACTGCAGCCACCCAGATATAACAGACTTGATATGGAATTCCAACAACTTACTGTTTCAAATAGATAGATTACATCGAGAAAGATGCCGATTGTTAGACATATGAATTGAGTTGGAACAGCAGCGAGAACTCCAGTGACTTTGTCTGAATGGGTTAGTTTTCCGCATACTCAATAACGGAACTTTACGTTAGATATAGATAGATATGACTGATCTATCAGCAACAGCTTGTATATAACGTTATACATTGGTCGTTACCACCTCCTGACCTAGCCGGTGTGTCTATAATATAGTGTGAAGTGCTGCTACTACCTCACCGCCACTCGATGAAACTAAACTGTGTAAATATATACTGCGATTCATTTATATATCGGGTGATGGTTAGCGATACGGTAATGGGATTTCTCCATGTGACATGAATATAAATATACAGGAACGACAGGAAGTACCCCAGCGATATAAACTACTCGACAGAAGACCACTTCGAGGTGCCCCGATAAGGTAGCGGGGAAAGTTTTAGACTACAACAACAACAACAACAACAACTATGGCGTCAAGCTCGCCTCTTAGCGTGATCCCGCTAATTAAACAGTAAAAAGTAAACATTCCTTGTTCTTACCCCCATTTATTACTGAAACGTTCGTTCCAACCGTTTGAAGGCATCTACTCTAGTTAGATCCGAAATCATATGAAAAATTTCACATGTGTCGTATGAATTTACACAAAATTCTTCACAAATATATACAAATAATCACCTATTTTGTCGATAAGCACAGATTGGTATGCATACTGACATGGAAATGAACGAATTTGGTCAATATCAATCCAAATGGGTCGTATAAACTTTGGTAATAAGACGTTCACGAACATACAGATCGAGCGCTCGCCAGTATGGGCGGAGCCAAATGACCGACTTTTGAAAGCTTCTCTCCGATTGGTCAGTCCGCTGCAGAATGACACGTCGCCAGTTCAGGTCACAGAGTACTTTACTACGTACTTTTGTACAAGGAAATACAATGTTTCTAAACATATTAGCGTAGCATATTTGTTAATTTGTTAGAATGGGATAGTACATTGTTTTTCGTGTCTATACTGGCGATTAGAACATGAAATTTGGTTTAAACTCTCGACCTATCGGTCTCGAGTTCACACCAAATTTCATGTTCTAATCGCCAGTATAGCCACTCAAATCAACGAAACTATCCCCTTAATTCATGTTATAATATTAGGGTTGAGGGAAAGGAAGTCTTCCCTCAACATGATGTAAGCTTTTAATGATTCATGATAAAGTGCATTTGAGCATAAGAAAAAAGGCCAGATATCAATATTTACAAAAACATCTTGGAATGTACTAAAGTTTCGTCAGTCTAAATTGTCTCCTCAAAGGAATGCAATTATATTTTATCCTTGACACCTTTTGCGCCTAAAAACATCTCATTACTCATATAAATTGCACCGGCGCGACCACTAGGTGGACTAGAACCCAAAGGAATGAAGACATGGCTAAATAGTCCATTTTTTAGAAGCTTAACATGGCCATCTTTGGCGGTGTCCGATCTCCTTTTCGAAAAATGAGATCAGTCCGGCGGCTCACTTGTTTTCATTTCGGGCGAAGTTTCTGAAGAGTGTTACACGTGCATGGTCTGTTGGTAATAATACACGCACGTACATGGTCTGTTTGTAATAATACACGCACGCGCATGGTCTATCGTCCAATTACGCATCGCTAATAACCAATGAAAAGTGTCATTACTCCTCAAATGTTTTAGAATGTTCAATAAAGCCAATAAAATCGAAGAAAACCAGAGTAGGCAATCAAACATGAATAGATAATACGCTAAGAATACAAATTGTCATAGTTAAATTTGTGGTACAGATAAGGTCCAACACCAACCGGTGTAAAAAGATCCTTCTCGTGCTATAACACGCCTGTAATATTGGTCGAAATGACGCGTTTTGTTGCACCAAGCAAGCAAGCTATAAGGCCACAAAAATGGAACTGAGCAAAGTGTCCAGCTAAAACCCTTGATAGTATGTCCTTGAGATGTGTCTGGATTTACTCTCTATCAAAAGTCAAGAAATTATGCCAGCATATCCCGCTAAGGTCTCAATCTTTTGAATGTCTGCGAAATTCACAAACTCAAAACAATATTGCATTATTACAATAACACATGAACAATTCTAAATACCTGTGAACATGATTGTGTAAATACAAATACAAAACTGATCATACTGCGCACATTTCTCCTTCTTACTTGCAAACCAACCATCATACAGATAATGCTGAAAATACCAGTTAGAGAATAAATGCTGAAAGCACAGCAATCCGGGCAACTACAAAAAGCACTGCAGTTAAGGGGTACATGCAACTAAGTTACAACCGCAGAATGATTTTAAAATTAAGATCGATCCTCCCGAAAACAGACCTACTACCTCTGCCAACAGAACTATGCATTTCAATACCAAAACAGGTTACAAACTTATCTAACTCATGAGGTCCCAGAAGGGATTCCAAATATACAAATCTATTCCGACACGCCCAAGTCATCACAATCTATAATGGGACTTTGTTCATTATCATTCCTATGGATCCACTCTATATCAGTCGTAATACCGTAAGCTGATTACGTGTCAAAAAACGAAGCAATACTCTGTAAGTCTGATTTCATGCAATCTTTGTTTGTAATTTATAATACATTCTGATTATCGTTGAACTTCTTTACCGACTAATCCTGCAGCCGGTGTAACACTGACAGCGAAACATTGTTGACTGCTGACGAATCATGAATCAGACCACATCCATGGGTCTGCCACATTATATTGACAGGAAAACAACAAAACACAGAAAATAATGAAATAATACAATATAACTTCACTATACAACCTATCAAAAATGACGCCAAAATTAACAATGCACTATAACGTCAACATCTGATGAAAAACAAAGATGGTGTTACAGAAATAGATAAATGCCTATCGCTACAGGCATGAGTATTGCAACAAATATTTCGTATCCTTTGTTTTATTTATTCATGAAACGATCTGTACTGTTAGAAATGTTGAAACCAGGTTTTAATATATCGATTAACATTGATTCTTTTGACTCTCTTCAGTATCTTCTGTAGCTAGGTATTTAGGAATTACATGTAACTTATCATTTGCACAAGAATGAATATGTATATTTACAAATAAAATGCAAGTGGTCACTTTGTGTCTGTTGTCTGTGAAGTGATATATGTTAACGCTATTCACAACCAGTGTGTCCAATGTAAACTTCAAAACAATTTGCACGGATCATTGCATAAAAACAACATAGATCGCTGTTTAAATTAGCTTTTACTTCCTTCAAAAATAATACTTCAAACACCACATCTTGGTTTGTTACATTTCGACACAAGTACATTTTGTTTGGAACCAATAAACTTACTTAACCTCGCAGAGAAAAATGATACCAACACAAACAAATGTCACAAATCATTTTGAAATTTTCAGGACCTTAAGAAGGATTCAGCGGGACACTTGACAGAATTACAAAGGATTGTAAGTAAGCTTACAGAAATTCCCAAAAGCCAAATCAAAGCAAAACGTGATCTGCGTAACGTTTTGTGTGGAGCGTGCAGAGGTAAACCGTATGAAGTACTTAATTTGCCATTACCTTCATTTTCGAACATTGGATGTCAAACAGTGGATCGATTCTCAGAGCTAGAATTATCCAATAGCAATGAAGAGTTTCTTAACCAAATGGTTCATATTTTGATTGAAAATGAGAGATTGGGATGTACAAAATCTAGAAATGAGGGTTACGATGATCAAAACAGAAGAACCAGACAGAATACATCAGTGCAACCACTACCAAGGAAAGGACTTGGCGTCAACAAAGGATCCCGTAAGTTGATCTATTGGTGATTATACGTATATTAATTCGTTATTCTTATAAATACTTAATTAAATTCAGGGAACGAAAGAAAACAATGTTACTAAGTTGGGTGTATCTGTGACAACTTCTGACGAAGGAAATTCGAGTGTTTGATACCTGCTCAATAAGATAATATATAAATAATTTAAGCAGCTCTCTTAATAGCTATAAAATACATTACTCTCTACTTAAAAAGTACTGTATTCTGTGGTCATCTAAGTTTAATTTTCTTTGCAAAGACAATCACCAAGAAGAGCAAAATACTGCTCAAATCAGGATGGAAATGGCACTCTCTTAACAGAAAAAAGTATTAACATCTGAAAAACAGAAATTTCAAAACAATCTGAAAACGAAACAAGAATTAATCGGACAACTGCAAACGACACTTGGTAGGTCATTGTATCACGTAAAACAATGATACAATGTACTTTAGTATCATATGAGACAATGAAAAACTGCATAAGCACAAAACGAAATTTCAGAATGCTCAGGATAAGAACTTGAGAGGTAAAAAGTCAGATTTTCCGATAATCAATAATAGTGCACTGTATCGTTGATGACTATGATATATTTTCGTACATCATGTACTGTATGACGTTATTACCAAATTGTTGACATTTGAATATGCAATTAAAAATGTACATTTTTGTGCCTTCCAAAAATCATTGACAATACGCGAACATGTGAAATTATTGAGAGTGAACAGACTATTCTGAACGTTAAAATTAATGCCATTAATATTCGAAGAATAAGTTAAACTGTGCAAGATCTTTTCCTCGTGCTTGTTAGACTGTCAGTAAGTGATTTTCATCTAAAGTTCTGATGTCCAGCAGTTATGCTGCATTGTTTGTTAACTTTGTTTACAAAATTGACTTTGCTCTTGTTTTGTTAGTATAATTAATGTATAATTTACTAAACAATAGCACCATACCACATATAGTATCCGTTGTTATTCATTAGGAAACACCTTCCGAGATATTAACAAACAAAAGTTGATATCGAAAAGCAATATACTAACTTCTGACGGAAATAACTTTACATATTTGATACTTGATCGGTCATAAAATGCATACGTAATATATGCAGCTGTCCTTGTGGTTATGTAATGTAAACGTTTCATATAAAACCTAAAACTGACCTTGCAAATTATCTATGTTCTTATTTTATATCTGTTCGATGTGTTTTAATCAACAAGAGGAGCAAGGTTCTTCTCGAACTGAAACGGAAAGGGCCCTCTCTGTGCAGATTGCTAAACTTACATCAGAAAAAGAGGAACTGCAAAGCAATCTTAAAACGCAACAAATAACAATGGTAAAACTACAAACAACGATTGGTAAGTCAATTTCTCACGTAAAACAATTATACAATGTGCCGTAATATCATATGAGACAATGAAAACCTGCAAAAATACATAACGAAATTTCAGAATGCTCAGGATATAAACTCACAATGTTATGTTGAACGCCTCACCGGATAGCCTTATTGTTGACATGATGTATATTCTGTTTTGTTTACTTTCTGTTGTGACGCGGTTTATCGATTTATTTTGTTACATTTGTTAACTAATCAAAATGACTAATAAAAGCTGTTAACAACTTTGTAATCAAAGTTATCTTGTTTTGGTTGGTTTATATGAAAGAATAACTATAGGTACCCATGAAGATTGACATTCCCAACTATAATCAAATAACAGTTGATATCCAAAATCAATATGCTAACCTCGGACGTTAAGAACTTTACATACAGTATATCATTGTTGTTCAGTGATTTAATGTGTTTTGCGCAGACAATAACCACGAGAAGCAAGAAACTGCTCAGATCGAACTGAAAAGGGCCTTCTCTGAGAAGATTGGAAGACTAACATCAGAAAAAGAGGAACTGAAAAACACTCTAAAAACGCAGCAAGAAACCATTCAAAACTTGCAAACGACGCTTGGTGAGTCATTTTCTCTCGTTAAGACCATTGTTTATTCTGTAGTAGAATATGACATATTGAAAATCGGCAAAACATATTGAAATAACAGTATGTTCAGGAAATTAACTTAGAAGTTTCGTAATACCAGGGTCAGATTTCCCTTCAGGAATTACAGTTTCATGTAAGCTGTGTCGTTGATGACGATAATACAATGTTCCGAATTTGAATGAAGATATCAAGATGGAGTTTAGTATTAGTTGCATAAAAAATAAAAATAAAATTAAAACAAACTATTTTTTTTAAAAACACTGGTGTAATTTAGTTTCGTCTAATTGGTGATATGATATATATGCTAATATTGTAACTTCACGTGTCCAATAGTACAATATCAATAGTAACATGTTGTTCAAAAGTACATTATCAGTTCAAATCTTTGTCCAAATTGCGGCAGGCATAGATGATATTTTTCGTACATCATATACTGTATGACGTTATAACATGTACCAAATCGTTGACATTTAAATATGCAGTTAAAATGTACATGTTCGTACCTTAGGAAAATTATTGACAATAGTGTAATATGAGGCAATATTGAGACTTAATAGAAGAATGTTCTGAAAGTTAAAATTAATTTTCAAAGAATAAATTCAAGTGTGCAGAATATGTTCCTCGTGGTTGTTAAACTGTCAGTATGGGATTTTAATCTAAAGATCTCGTGTCCAGTAGATTTTCTGCATTGTTTATTAACTTTGTTTATAAAATTAACCTTGCTTTTGTAAGTATAAATGAAAATATAATTTACTGAACAATAGCAGCATACCACGAATGCTATCTGTTGTTATTCATGAGGAAACACCTTCCGAGATATTAACAAACAAAAGTTGATATCAAAAAGCAATATACTAACTTCTAATGGAAATAACTTTACATATTTGATACTTGCTCGGTCATATAATGCATACGTTATATATGCAGCTGTCCTTGTGGTTATGTAATGTAAACGTTTCATATAAAACCTAAAACTGACCTTACAAATTATCTATGTTGTTATTTCATATCTGTCTGGTGTGTTTTAATTTCCAAGAGGAGCAAGGTTCTTCTCGAACTGAAACGGAAAGGGCCCTCTCTGTGCAGATTGCTAAACTTACATCAGAAAAAGAGGAACTGCAAAGCAATCTTAAAACGCAACAAATAACAATGGTAAAACTACAAACAACGATTGGTAAGTCTTTATCCGATAATCACTATGATTCCTTAGTACCCCATGAGACAGGGCAAACATGCAAAACAGCCGTTTTTAAATTTACAAATGTTCAGAACTTCGAGGTTCCCAGTTCCAAGGGTCAGACGTGTCGTGTTCACTGTGTCTTTGATTTATATCGACATTATCTACAAAAAATGACATTTTTTAAATACAACTATTAATCGAATCCGACATGTTTTACTGGGGTTTTTTTTTGCTATTATTGTTGTTGTTGTGGTGGTTGTTGTTGTTGTTGTTGTTGTTGTTTTATGTATTTAAACATCAATCAGAGACTGATCATGGCATATCACGCTATGTGTTGCATTTGTGTAGATACCTTACTTACATTTAATTACATAAAATTCCTATTTATAAAAAAGCTAAGTACATAAATATAATTTGTTCTTGTTGTTTTCTTTATTATTGTAGAAATGAAAGCGGAAGAGACAGATCTCGTTGAAAATAGCAGAGACGTATATCATCCCCAGAATAGGAGAGTGTCGTTCGATTCCTCACCTAAAACGGTGTATGCTTCTTCTGACAGAGGTAGGTCTAATAGTTCCAATCAGCAATATTTGAGGTACCCACTTTTCTTGCCGTTATCCATTGGAGTTGGCTGAATTACTTAACAAACAACTAGAATACTGAAGTGTTAGCAAAACCGTATTCGAAATCAATTGTGAAGAATGATAAAGGAAACTTTAAAGGAGACCCGTTGTCTGGAAGAGTAAGAGGCTTCATCGACGAAACTTGTCATGTAAATCTAGGTAAAATCCTTGCAATGTCATGACCTCGCATCGAGAACGCAGGTAGTGACAACATAACCACAAGGCACACATAATAAAAAAACATCGACTTTCATTTAACACAAAAAATAGCATAAATCCGCATGAGATTATAGTAGAGACCATAAGATTCGTCCGTAGTTTCCATCAGCCTTCAACATGTGTTGTATGTTCATCTGTTACGATTCGATATCTATTATAATAATTATGATATTCATGATATTCTGAGCAATCACTTTAAAACCGACTCAAATGCGGCATGTAAATACCTTATTGGTGTAACCATCAGGAAAGGGAAAATTCATGATTGAAAAGACAACATTGTCACGCTTATCGTACAGCTTTAAATTGAACCTTAAAAAAATGAAATTGAGTTTTTGTTACATGCCGTTGGAAGCACAGTCCCACTACAGACATAACACATTACATCTCCCGCACACACGCAGGCATACACACATACGGAGATATTAGCCAGATGGCATTGGATTAGTAGTTAGCGCCTGATAGAGCAGCTCCTGCGAATTCTTCAAAATTGTATTGATTAATGTATATGCTAATTGTATTAATTGTATATCTACGTACTGTAAAGCGCTTTAGAGTGCCTTATACTAGCTAGATAGTGCGCTATATCAAATGCTGTATATAATTATTATTACTAGTCCTAAAAAGATCATTGATAAATTCAGCCTCATAAAAAGCAAATCGGCCAGAAGAGGGGCACAATGTGTTCCCGTCGGAATTCCTACAGTCTGCTTGAAAGTAACTATTGTCAATAAGGAACTCAATCCCTCTCACAATTTTATCCTCACCGTTTATTTCATTTTGAACTTTGTTGTGTTTTTAAAAACATAACATTATGCTTACAAAAGATTACAGCCACATTTCATGGAAAAGAAAGTTCTCATAATCAGAGAACGGAGGAGTTCCTTCAGTTTGATATGAGTTATGGTAGTGTGAAGAGTGGAAAAATCTAAAGTTATGATAGACGGAACATTTTTTAGGAGAACGTGCTGAAGATTGATCAAAAGATATTTTTATTTGAAAAAAAAACATATTGGCATCAAGTGTGACACAGTATGTTGGTAAGATGAAAACGAGGCATCACGTAACAAAGGTTTGCAAGTAAAAAAATAACAACCTTATTAAAAGTATTAATGTAGGTCGCGCTGTCTTATAGACCCTGGAGTAGACAAGGAAACATATTTCATTACATTTTAATGTGGTAGAATATATATAAATTAACATATGTTAGCATAGCATTGCCGAATAGCTGAGGATGCGAAAATGTTGGAATGCGTTCTTCGTTATATATTTTCAAAAACATCATATCGCCTTCTTTATATATTCAACCATAGGTCACGTGTATATGGTGATTATCTCATAATTAAACATAACCAATTATTTTTTCTGTCTTTTCTTTCAAATTCAGTTTTGTAAATTTTGCTTTTCTTTCAAATTCAGTTTTGTAAATTTGTTTCTTTACAATGACATCAAAGAAGTGTATTCGTGTTAGGTAGTTAGTGATATACTTTTTAGCATATCAAACACAGTAAAAAGTTGATCGCATGCTTCATTATGCATAAACATGAAATCAAATTCAATTACAGCTATATATATTTCATGATTAAGTATATAACTGCAAACATGTGAAACAGCAATGTGTATGTGTTAATGCTGCAAATGATCATTGATGAAAATATCTTTTTTTTACATTTTCACTACAATGAAATTAAATGAATTCAAAAACGTTAATAGATATGTATATCTTGTTGATAAAAGTGTAATGAAACCATATGTATGGGTCACCAAACACGCAATTACTGTTTAAGATAACACAATACACCGAACAGTATGTATATATATTCCTTCAGACATTGCACAGGAACAAGCACTAGGTACGGACACATGTTCAATTGGCCAAGCTAACCAAGATAAAGAGACTTCTACTATGGAAAGGAACGTAGAAAGTGAGCAAATTGAAAAATCGGAAATGGAATTCGAGAAGATTACACAAGATATGGGTGAGTATATAAACATGCCTAACAAATGTTATATTGTTTTTATCACATAATGTACTGTGTTGTCCAGTGAATATACCCATGTCCTATGTTTTGCGTATTAATCCATATAATATGACCTATCAGCACTGTGATTGGTTGAAAGTTTCAATTGTGACGTCACGCCTAGGACACGTACATGACTTCACAGATTTAAGCACTGGAGTCAAAATGGCGGCTTTTTATATTACAAGGTATTGTCGTTTTACACGAATAAATGCGACAAGTCTTTTCATTTTATATGAAATTTATGAAAGTCGTCACGAATTTTTCATTTTAGCTCGCTAATTGAAAAGCTCTTACACTCGTTTCATAAATCTCATATGAAATGGAAACTCCTGTAAGATCCTATATCTAATACGATTATTAATCGTGCTCATATTGCACACTTGAAGGCATTATTGTCATTGTGTTTCCCTCTTTTGTATGCTCTGGGGAAAACAATCTAGGGTATGAGTTTTGAAACTTGAGTTATGTGTGCATTTTCTTTCAGAAAAAAAGGAGTGAGATAATGTTTAATAATTTTCTTTACAGTTATCTCTTGTATATATAAATATATTCCAAATAAGCAATCTATTAGTATTTCTGTTTCAGATAATCCTGACTCTGAGCTGAGCTCTTTGCAATCTCAGGAAAGCACACATTCCTCCGAAATGAAAAGCTTCACATTAAATTCTAGTAAGTGTTATATTTTTTGAAGTGATACGGAAAATATTACGAATGTGCACAATTTTTAAGCAAAATCATGTTTTGATAATATATGATTGTTTTTCAAGATAAAGCTTTAAAACCCGATAAATTCACTACATGTAGGACACATTCATAATCATAATTAATATTCTATAGAAAACATATAAGTATCTCAAACAGAAAATGTTATGTAAGAAAAACGGTTCTTTATAGAGAATGTTTTCCGTTTTTCATCATTTGGTTCCCGCACCATAACGTGGATTTAGTCAGGTTGACACTCTTCAGCATCTTTGCATGGATGTTGTATGGGTTAGTCATACACTGGATTTGATAAGAAGCCAAGGTCAAGGTTACTATAACCCTCATGTTCAGTTGTCGGACAATACGTTACGTTTTCTTTATGACAAAGTTATGTAGCAACCATGCACGCTCATTAATTCTCAGTAGTCGCATGGACGTTCAGTATCAATAATATAATCAACAGATAGCTGATCTGCTGTTATTCCATGTATCACGTTTTCTAAGTCAAATGTGAATGGAATCGTGACGAGATTTAAATCATGTCTACTGTTGTCGCTAAGGTACTATGCCGATAATAAAAAAAAACTTTCTTTCTTATCAAAAGGATTAGTCTGGCAAAAGTTATTAACTATCCTTTAATAGCACACTCAGAAAGTGAAACGTGTCAAAAATATAAATATAAAGGAATATTATTTGTTCGTACGTGCCGTAAAGAATTCGATATTTTACATAATGGCAAGCATGCGCAGACCAGACACCCAGGATGTAATGACGATGTTCATGCTTAAACTTAGTCGAACAGCAGGTAAACACTGGAAGCTGATCGACAGCACAGTAAGCTAAAGTATATATTAATGACCCAGTGGAATATATAGTCGCTAGTCGTGTGATCCTGCTCTCGTTACATTTCATGAATTCGTGTATGCTTACTAATGACGGAAATATGCTGTCAGGAAATAGCTTCGCAATTATAGTGTTAATTGAAGTTTATCAATGTAATTTTAAACACAGTTTTCCCGACAGATTGCGGCAATGTAACTTAAAAATAAGAATACATATGTTTAATGATCGTGGCCAAAAGGACTTTATTGAGAAATAAAGACATCAATACTATTTTATCATAACAATGTAACAAGGTTGATGTTTTATCATTTGTGTATCACTATGAAATACTTACCTTTACAAAATATTTTCTGGTGTAGTGTACATGTAGAATAGCATCATCCGAACTTTGCTGTATATTATTTTACTGACAGGTAAAACCGAGGAAAGACAACAAACTTTACAAGATGAAAACAACGTATATGAATCAGAAATTATGACTTTTAAACTAGAGAATGCTGAATTCCGCCAGTCCTTGAAGGAAAATAGTGAAAAGCTGACACAAGCAATTGATGAACTAGAGCGAATAAAGACAGAGAACACAAGTTTGAAAGCGGATTGCAGTAAGTTAGATGAATTTATTTTATTCATATTGTATTGTTTTCTTTACTTAATCCGCCGTTTTATATAAACAATCTTAAAGTGACGATATAATTTCTGTCATTTTTTATTCTATATATGCCTGTTTAATCTAAACATGTTTTCAAAAACAGAAATGGTATTATTGTTGTTTTAGCTCATTTTTAAAACCGCTAATTATATTTGTGATTTACCCTACCCCTTTGTCACCCCAAAAACCCACTTTCGGTCAACTTTAACCTTAGTTTTGACCTTACAGACACTCATTCTTTAATATAATAACTATTAAATTTAATAACATGTCATCGGTATTAAAATAATTTCATTTTTGATGATTAAACATAATTATATGAACATGATGCTAAACTGATACATATTTAATCAGAAAACGGCAGAGTTGTTTCTGAAGTGGTTTGGTTTGATTTCAGTTTGTTTAACGTCCTATTAACAGTTTAAGTCATTTAACGAAGTGCCTCAATAAGTGTTGAGCATGCGTGCATTTGTATATGCGTGCTGGAGGCTGGGTATGTTGTTGTAATTGTGTCATTACGATAGCGCGGATTTTATGCCGACTTTATAGTGCTATTTTACTAAAATATCATGCCGAAAGCACCCAGCACAGCATTTCGCCTGGTCACACTATACTGATAACGGGTAAACCAGTTGTTGCCATTCCACTTATTGCTGAAAGTTAAGTCGGGAATAAAGCCAAAAGTGAGGTGTTGCCAAGCAAGGCGCTAGAAAAGAAAAGGTAGCTAGAAAAAGAAAGAAGTAAAAAGATCCCAAATATTGCAATGAGTGCAGCAGACTTATTTTGGTCGCTTTTGTGTCCCCACATAGGGACACAAAAGCAAATCCTCAATTCTGCAAAAGTTCCCACATTAGTGGCCTCTTACGATCTATGCAGTGGGTATTCCTGTCCCGATCCCCGACCTTCAAGGATTAAACTTTTTTACCAATTAGCAGGAAACTATAATTACTCAAAATGAGCATATTGACACCTTGGTATAAATATTTACATATGCAGATACACGCGATGATGATCTGAGATCCATGAAAACTGAGAAAGGCAAAACTGACAAACACATAGAGAGCTTGAAATACGAGAAGCAAAAGCTACAATGTGTTGTGGATGATCTCAATACAAAAATGAAACATACGGAATCAGAACTGAAAAAGACACGATCAGACAACAAAACGCTGATAAACAGCGAAGGTAAGTTTAGATGAATCTGAAGGGGTCAACAATCTTATACATCACAAGTTTTTGAAAGTAAGCACGAATGTGATTGTCTGAGAACAATACCACATAATAAAGGAGCAGAATCGCAATAAAAACATGTTCATAAAGAGTCCTCAAAACGGTTTCAACGTAAGAGGGAATAACAAGATGAAATAACAGGCAAATGCAAGACAGAAACAGTCTGAAATGTTCAGTGGTCATCTCTTCTATAAAATGATTATCCGAAACCTTTCAGGGGATTCATCGCGGTCATGGCATAGCAACAGCCATGAAGACCCACTAGTCTCGTAATATTGTTGCACACGTAACATGGTCAGTTCTATCCCTATAAAGACCTATAATTTGTAGCATGATAGCCAAGCCCTATTACTATCCCTTGACCTTGACCGCTGGTGAGTTCTCATGTGATCCCTCAGTCTGTTTCGCCTCGCATTTGTTGTTCAGTAACTGCAGATGGTACAGTTGACTCGCTCCCCATGGTCATTCCGAACGTGATGTTTTAAACGTGCCTCTGAGAAGAATCTTCTGTAATAGTCATCTTAGTTCACCATACCTTCGTCACTCTGACTGACATAGTTACTTCCCTTGTAATGATACATGGTGAGCCTGGAACAGACACACAGAAAACATCTTTGGTTACAGGTTCTCCTACATAATACTGATTAACGTATATACATGTGCAACTGAATGGTCTCTATGGCCGCAGTACTCTGTCAGAAGAGGGTATAAACCACCTCTTTACTGCACCTTTATACGAGTTTAATCTTCTTATGTTTACTGTTTTGGTTTTGGCATGAGGTCCCCTCTTTATTCATTACACTTTATATGGTAATTTTCTTGTTACCGTGTATTTGCCTTCCCAGGGTCTAGCTAGCTTTGTACTTCCCTCTTAAGACTTGTTGTCATATACCTACCAAGGCAGACATTCCCCCAGTCGTTTTTATACCTATGAACGACATGTCCTGAATTGTGCGGTTCCATCACTCCACTCATCCGTCGCCCTGTGGATGGTACAGCTGTGGTAATGCACAACGTTGCACGATGTGCGCACGGTGTGCACGATGTGCACGATGTGCGCACGGTGTGCACGTTGTGCGAACGATGAAAATCTGGACGATTGTTGCTTGCGCACATTTGTTCGGACGATGGACGAACGTTGTGCGATGACAATCGTGGTTGGTGTAAATTGAGGAATGACTTAACAATAGCATACGGTTTCGTATTTGAACATATAACCTTAATTTTAAAGAATGTTTCTATATTCTAGTTACATATATAAGCTGATCTTTCTATACATTTTTAAATTTAGATAATTTAATGTGCATGTTACCCAATAATACTTCATTTCAAGTATTTTTGTAACTTTTATATATTTATATATTTTTTGTACAACGAATCTTTAACCATAATTCTTCTGCTATGTCTTTGATTTATTTCAAATTAAATAAATTCAAGCCATATTTATCCAGTTTGCATCTGTTTCACCCCTTAAAATCTTTACAAAACTTAACCGTAACATATCAATGTGTGATTCTACGTCCCTTAATTTTAAACCACCTTGGCAAAAATTGCCGATACATTATTTCGTTAAACATTTTTTCCCTTCTAATTCAATATAAATGTATAAATTAAACGTTCCATTTCCTTAATATGTAGCTTGTCTAACGTCTGTGTACTAGCTTAGTATGTAGTCTTTGGAATCACTTATGACGGAACTATTAGAACTTTCCGTACTTAAGTCAGTTTCCTTTTTCCAGTGTTTTAGCAGGTCATCAATCGACGTTTTCTTACTTTCCCAATTAGAATTATTGCATACTTTTTTATAAGTTCCAAAATATGTTTCAACGGCTAAAGCTGTTTTCTCTTATTACTTTCTTATAGTATCCATTCTGTTTTGTCTTTGTTCAATTTTTAAGCCCGATACATCTCCAAACTTTTCAACAATTTAAAGAGCCTTATATATGTCTGCGTGTTTCAAAACTAACGTTGTGTCGTTAGCAAGTTGTATTCATTTGATTATTTTTTTCTCTTCCCCTGGACAAGTATATTCACCCTTTTACCAGTGTGAGATATCCTTGTCTCACCCTAGGGTTGAGACGGGGGAACTTTAAAAAATGAAGTTCCAGAAAAATGAAAATAATGTTATTGGTATTCTCTACCTTCTTTTTTCTTGTTTTAAACTTGCGTTCTGATCTAAGGACGACCAATTGATGCATAAAACTGTTCGGTATAGAGATGTTACTGTTGATCTTTCCATCTTTCACCATGTAGATATCGCATAATAACGCGTATTTATGGCGAGGCAACTAAAATATATATTCTAATAGAAATATGGATCCTTTATTTATTATTCTTAAATTATATTTTATATATTAAATATGATAAGATTATTTTGAGTGCAAAAATATCGAAGGAAAATAAGAAAACAGAGAAATATCACCCACGTTAAGAAGTCTATTGCACTAAACAAACATTTTGGGAAAATCATCACCTGTATTCAATTTGATTTACTTTATGACTAACATAATGTCGTTATATTGACAATAATGTCATTGTCGATGTTATCAGATACACATGATTCTGAACTTTTATACATATACATGTGTATCTATTAAATTGAACAACAACGCATATTTTAATTCAACGGGACGGGAGAACTAAAAAGAATCATTCGACATTAATCTACTGACATCTGAAAAAAGAAGAACTAATGAATATCAAAAGCAAACTTGTCTCCGGCAGTTTCCGAATGGAGGAATTGATTAAAATGAATCAACATTAATCTGTTGACATCTTTGAAAAGATCATATTCCACTCTTGTTTACATTAACAGAAGCACGTGATGATGAGGTGGAGTCTTTGAAAACTGAAAAAGACAAACTTGACTCACACATGGAGCGTGTGAAGCAAGAGAAACAAAACCTCCAAAATAAACTAGATAATCTTAATGCACAGATGACGCAAATGGAATCAGAATTGAAAACGACAAAGGCAGAAAACGAAAAACTGGCAGACAGTCAAAGTAAGTCTTGATCAATCTAGTACATATGTTTCAACTGTAACCGCTGAAACAACTAACTAAGCATCAGTGTGCCGAATCAGTAAAGTCTTTCAATTCCTGTTTGTTTACAAAACAAACTTAGCCTTTAAGTAAGTATTTTGTATTTAAAATGTATTGATGCTTTCCCTGGTGGAATACCTGGTCTTATTACCCTTGCACATCTTATAGCGTCTTTTTATTAATCATTATTTGTTCCTTATTTGCCATAGTTTTATCGATTTTGAGGTCCAAAGACAATTTGTAAACGCTGTTGTATTCTTTACCTTCGTTGTGGTTGTTTCAAACCTGCTCCCTGTTCTAAGGACGTCCAATTGATACATAAAACTGTTCGTTATAGAGATATTACTGTTGTCCTTTCCATCTTTCACCATGTAGATATCGCATAATAACGTGTATCTATGGCAAGCTAATTGAAACATATTCAAAGAGTTTAACCGATCTTTTCTTTTATTATATTAAATTAATATCATAGTTAATGTAAGATATCATATATATAGACTGCAAAAACAACCAGACCATAGATCATGAAGATTTTGTAAAGAAAAATAATGAAATAAATAGGAAACAGAGAAAGAACACATGTTTAGAAGTGGAAGACAATAATCAAACCCAAGTAGGTCCTAAAGTCGAAACCTCAACATAAGTCTATTGAAATCTGTAAAAAGATCATAATCCACTCTTGTTTAAATTTACAGCGGCACGTGATGACGAGCTGAAGTCTTTGAAAACTGAAAAAAGCAAGCTTGACTCACACATGGAGCGTGTGAAGCAAGAGAAACAAAACCTCCAAAATAAACTAGATAATGTTGATGCACAGATGACGCAAATGGAATCAGTACTGAAAAAGACAAAGACAGAAAATAAAAAACTGATAGACAGTCAAAGTAAGTCTTGTTTAATTATATACAATGTAGATGTCGACGCGTTCCCTTTGAGTACACCTGTTTCCTTTGTAACCGCTGAAAGAGATAGAGATAGCGTGCCGAATCAGTAAAGTCAGCTGTCAAAAATCATTTCGCCAAATTGCACTCTTATACTGCAGTCAGGCAGGGGGCGAGTAACATGCTCTCCCACTCTGTCACTTAATGGGGTCATAAAGATGACTAAGCTTTTGCAATTGGCAAAAGAAACAAAACATACAAACACAGAGAGAAAAGTAACGTCATAGTCACTATCCCATACATAAAAGGGGTGTATGAAGCACTTTGAAGAGTTTCGCGCAGACATCACATCAGTGCACCAATGCGACCACACAACACCAGCGAGCAACTATCAGTTCATCCAAAAGACACATTGTCGAAATAAGACAACACTAGGGGGTGGGGGGGGGGGGGGGGGGGCTGGTCTGGTTACCAATTTCCGTGTAACAGATGCAACCTTGCACTTGCATACATCAGGGAAACTAGCTGGATATTAGGGACACACCTTAAAGAACATCAGAAAGAAGATGAAGACATGAAACAGCAAGTCTACACTAGAAATGTAAGGATGTAAGGAAGACATCGGTGAAACAAAACAATTAATCAGCTTTTACAGATCATGTTCACACACACAACCACATCATAGACTGGAACAACTCGAAAGTGCTTGAAAGTTGGGCATCTGGAAAGTCCGGAAAATCAAAGAATCTATCTTTGTTAGGAGGGAAGGGGATTCGATGAACAGAGACGTAGGGCAGCTTAGTCATCTTCATGACCGCATTTTAACAACCGCTTAGGGGAAGAATGGGTAAACATTTTACCTGTCCCCTTGACTGCCTGCAGTATTAAAGTGTAATAGGGCGAAGTGATATTTAACCGCTGACTTTCTTGATTCGGCACACTGTGGTTTAGTTAGTTATTTTCATCTGTAAAGAGCAACCGGTCAGTTACATTCTTTCTTTTCATTTCCTGTTTGTGTTCAAAACAATCAAAGACTTTCAGTAAGTACTTCGTAAATGCTATGGTATTCTCT